TCTCTCTCTCTCTCTCTCTCTCTCTCTCTCTCTCTCAGCGAAAAGCATATAGGCTTTAAACTCCATCCAAGTGTTTTACAAAATCAGTATTACCTGATAAGGAGTTCTGGAGCCAATGAGCAACTCACCTGAGCAATAACACTTCCTTTTCCGGTTGCTCAGAGTTGGTGGAAGGCTGGGTGGGAAGGTGGACTAGGACTCCTTGAAGTGACATCCAGGCTTGTGGTTATATTGTTAACTCCTAGGAATATATTAACATTTGCATTAGCCTGACTCTGAGGAAACAGTAGCAAACAGAAGACGTAGCTATGGGGGTAATTTTAGACCTTATTTAAAACATGTTAACAGATTTTACTTGTTAGTCAAAAGCAGTAGCCAAAGGCCTTTTTTACACTGGATTTGAGGACTCAGAACACAATCTCCATTTTATGACTCTTACTCTGGCCTCAACCCCTTCTTACATCAGCTCACTTCCTCTGGTACCATGACTGCAGCCATATTGTAGGCCCAAGGAACCAAATATGTTGATCCTGCCACCTTCTCGAGGTCTTGCAGTCCCCTCCCGTCATCACCCTGGTCCCCTAACAGCTCAGCTTCCGTGGTCCATCGCCCTAATTGCTCCCCTGCTCAACCCTTCCTTCCCTGTACCCTTTCTCACTCAGTCTTCCTCGCTTGGCAAAGTGCCAGCTCCCTGCCTGATCTGCACTGCGCCTGTCACCTGATTGCAGCTGGAGACAGGCTGGGCTCTGTTTAACTCCAGACCGTAACCTCAGAGGGTTACCCTCCCTTCAGGCTGCTGGGAAACTCTGTGATCCTTTCCAAGTCCATGAACTCTTGCCAGTCAGGATCATTGTTTCCTATCTTCTTTTTCATCAAACCTCCAGTATTGCTCCTATACCTCCTTTCTCACTTAGCTGTCACCTTGCTTCCTTTTATACTGAAAAATTGAAGTAGTCAGTGGAAAATTTCCACGAGCTCCACCATCACATTTACCCATTTCCTGCACCTGTGCTGTGTGCTCTGCCTCTTTCTGGTCATTGCCGATAGACTGACTGTGTTCCTCCAGGACCCTCAGCTCCAACCCTTCCCACCTCCTTGAGAACCTACCCCGGGAAACACCCCCTCTCTCCCACTGTCAGTTTTCCTATATCTGAGAGATCACTCCCACCAGCAAACACATCGGTTATTTCATCTTAACTACTGCTTATTAACTGTCTACTCAACATCGCCTTTCAAATGTCTAGTAAGTATTTCAAACCAACTTGGTCAAAACCAAGATCCCCGTGTCCCATTCCCAAATTCCAGCTGTCTCCTCCCACAGCTATCCCATCTTTATTTGCTAAGATTAAAATTATTGGAATAATCCTTCAATTACTTCACTCATATCCCACAGCTAATCTGTCAACAAATACTTTCAACCTTACTTTTAAATAATATCCAAAACCTGATTACTTCTTACCTCTTCCATTGCTCCAGCCTGCTTAAATCCACCATCATCTATCAACACAGTCTTTCTAACAAATCTCTCACCTCCTCCAGGCACCTCTCGAGACAATGGCACAGGTGATTGTATTAAAGCATGAGGGCTGGGGGCACAGCTCTATGGTATAGTGCTTTCCTAGCATGTACCAGGCCCTGCAAAACAAAACAAAATAACAACAAAATAATACATCAAACATGAGACTTTAGACATCTCATGTCCCATCTGCTGTAAACCCCCAAGTGGCTTCCCATCTCACGTGGAGTTAAAACTAGAGTCCGATGGAAACCCTGCAAGACCCTACAAGACTGGCTTCCTCTGGGCCTACTAGGGCTCTGAGCTCATCACTTCTGATGTGCTGACCTCGATTCTGTGATTCTCCAGTGCAAGGCACTCAGGCCATGAACTCTCTGTAGAAAACCGCAGGGGTCCTTCCCTCCCCTGTGCAGGCCCTTACTCAATTGCTATATCAGCAAGATCATCACAGGCTGTTTTTAAAATTCTGACTCCTCCTAGCTGGGCCCTATTCTCCTTCCTTCTCCATTGCACCATGGCCATCAATGCTATTTTTGTCTGGTACTTGGGCTCCTATGTATGCTGTCTTTGATTATACTGGGCAATAAACTAGAACGCAGGTATCATGAAGGCAAGGATATTGTCAGCTCATGCTATATTCTCAGCACCTGGAACAGGCTCAGACATAATGGAACTCCTCAAAATGTGTTTGTGGAATAAATTACAAATTATGTAAGAGATACCTTCCAGGCCACTTGGGCTTCTAGTTTTCAGTGCTTGGGTGGGACCCTTTCTTTGCCTTTAAAGCCAACATAATAGTCACCCTTACTAGCTCACCTTTAGAAATTAGGAGCAAAAAGAAGAAAGCTGATGTAATTTGTGTGTGTGTGTGTGTGTGTGTGTGTGTGTGTGTGTGTGTTAGCC